GCTTCCCGCAGTTTCTTCTCCATTTTTTTTTTATCGAAGTAAATAAAAGAGTCCAGTTTACATTTTTCATACTTAAAAGTTAAACCCTAAAGCTGCACTCTTATCATTCAACCTAGGTGTATTGTACAAATAACTAGCATTCAACGCAACTCTTGTGTCTCTCTCGCCATTAATCGCTAAACCGTTACATTCGTGACATCGTGTATAAAACTCTATCGGAGTACATGATTACATTGTTACTTTACGCGGTAGGTAATAGTAATTATCACTTGTTGTTTCTTATTTTTCTCTCTCTCTCTCTCTAATCACCCCCTCCATACCATTCCCCCCTTCGCCGCTCTCGCTCTATCACTCTCTCTCTCTCTCTCTCTCACATCCCTTGTTTGCTCTGTAGGCCACAAAAAATTGTTCAGATGCCAAAAACAAAAGAAACGTACTTCCTTATTGAACGGGTACCGATTATTATAAACTTTCGCTGCTTTAATGTTGAAAAGTGTCCGTTGTTTATCGGGGCGGGACCCGATGAGGCCAGCTGGGTTCATCCTCACTAGGCCGTATCCGTCTGTACGTCTGTCCGTCCAGCGAACCTTCTCGTCATCTTCCTCCCTCCGCTTCTCTCGTCACTTTCAATTTCATCGTCATCTTCGCCCGTGGCCGGGCCAGTCATTCTCATTAAAAATGAATAAACGCGAGGAGGCAAAAGAAAAGGAAGGAAGGACGAAGAAAAGAAAAAGATCGTAAATGCGCGATCCACCTCGTCCGTACTATCGCAATTCCTCAATGTGATATCGTTATCAGTCTGTGATTTCATCCAGATCCGCGTCCGATCTATCGCATCGTCGATCTCGGTCCATTCGGGAACGACGTCGACCGAGATAGAATCTCGTATCCTTGACCCCATTCAGTAAAGCAAAATCATTTCGGACAACGTAAGACAAGTGATGCTCAGTCTCGGCGATCATTGGTATTTCGTATAGCGTCCACTGCCTGCTCTTCTTGTACCAATAATATGCATGCGGATCCAGTAGCCTTAGGTATCGGCTGATATCACGCTTCTCTTGCCACGACGAAGGCCGAGGTCAAAGTTCACGACGACTGGCAGGTCGCAGGTTCCATACTCTTTTTCCGTCTTCATCCCCTCTCTCTCTCTCTCTCCTTCTCCAGACTCTCTCGCCGATTCCCATCGGACAGAATGAGGTTAGAAACAGAACCAGATCGTCCCTCTCCTCCGAACGAGGGATATATCGCGCGTCGATCCCCGGGGTCTCTTTATGATTCCTGGCGCTGCGGGGTTGAGCCTGGCGGAGCGATTATTCCAAAATACATCCACCGCAGCCCCTGGTCTCATCTTCCTCTCTCCAAGTCCTACTCATCTCCGTCGACGTTCCACCAAGGAGACACTCGGAGTCCCGAGGCCACGGCGACCAGGTCCGTGCTCAGTCGCGGGGCGATAGTCGTGCGTCGCGGTGCTCCTCGTTCACCGATGATGATGACGACAAAGACGGTTCCTTCGGAGCATGGTAGCCGCGAGGGCTGCTACCGATCCTCTTGCGATACACCGGCTCAGTGAATTGCCACTGGACTCTGCTGCACGCAAACGCCAACCATCGGACTGTCCTCTCTCTCCGGGTCACGTTGTTTCCCACCCGCGACCGTCGACGGCTGCCGGACCATACCCTGAGCGTCGGCGCTCGGGTACCCGTAGTTGTAGAAGTTCTGCTGCTGGATCATCGGTGAGGTGATCATCGCAGGTAGATGCGGTATCCCTGGGAGAATGAGGCTGTTGTACGAGCCAAGAGAGCTTTGTATCAGGGGGCTGTCCATGGACTGCATGGACGTCGGGGCGGACGTAGGCGCCCCGGTGGCTGACGTCGATGGGTAGCAGGTTGTTATGGCACGACGACTGCTCGAATGCCGGGGCGAAGACTCGCAGTCCATCGGTTGATAGCCACCAGGGAGGCTCGGCACGTGCACCAGACTACCGCCGGTGCTGCTGCCCTGTCCTGACATGGTTACCAGTCCTGCGACAATGAAAATTCAAAATACTTTCAGCACAATTACCAACTTACAATATTACAGATTCGTAAGACCGTCGGGAAGTCGCTACTCTAATTTCCCACCCAGTATTAAAATCTCCCTCTTGACTTTCGTTTCTCTCTATCTTCAGTAATGTACTCTCACCGATCTCTACCGGGGCTACTGGGGACTACGAGACGTACTCTGTCTGTCTACAGGATGTTACAGGCACTGGCAATCCCCTTTATGCTCTACACCAACCGTCCTTCCCTCCACGTGACAATCTATATCAGCGTTTTACATGCACGGCAATATCTGATTTACAAATTGGACACCCAGATGCCTCCTCGCGATTAGACTTTCAAAGCTCAGCCCGGAGCGAAGGACAGGGTTACCCCGCTCCGTTTCCGATCAACGTTCCTTGACCCAGTGCAAATTAACACACGCATCTCATCGGTACAACATTAACGCTTTCTCTAAGATTGCGGAAGGAGCAAACTCCACGTGCTGGATGCAAAGTTCTCGTAACGTTCTTTTTTTATTTTATTCTCGTTTCTATCCAAGGGTCAACGACGCAATACGCACTCGCCAAGGAACGTCTAATGCTATCGCCAGTGTTAACCGGATAACCGATATATATCCCATACGGTTATATATATATATATATATATATATATATATATATAACTATATGCGATTTTCAACGAGGAAAAAATTAGCCCAGAGAACTTTGATACCAGGACAAGTCGCTAACCAACAAGACATACGATTTATAGGGGATACGTGCACGACGCATGCACCCTGGAACACACTTACGATAGGCACGTCGAAACCCGTGGTGAAATTGTTAAAATTGCCTCCTGGGACACTCGGTGAACACACAGTGCTAAAACCAGAACCACAGGTGGTCGCAAGTGTCCCGTGCGGAAAATTTAAACCTTGTCCACCGATACCCACACGGGCCTTCAACGTGCAGACTCAAATCTTTGTCTCTTATACTTGAAATTACGTCGTGCACCTCTGCCATAGGCAATGGACGTGACGATCGAGTATTACAATTTTTTTTTTTCTATTACTCTGAGACACCCAAGAGACTTTGTCTTTTCGTAAAACGTACCAATCGCGACTACGCGTCCAGCGTGCATTTTTAAGAGTCACCTGGCCATTGCTCGTCGCCATTTGTCACAGGGCCGTTTAACATCATAGATATAAATAAAAATCTAACTGTTTACCAGTCGGATATACAATGTAATACAATCGAACATATATTATTGTAAAGCAATAACAAAGCACGTCTGATACTAACTACTCGTTAGTATCTTACATCCTTTGCTTATGTACACGACGCGTTGTGTAAGGTGCATTAAAACTAAGCAGCTAAGAAGGACATGCAAGAAAGTAATATAGAAAAACGATGGAGTGACCTTTGGTAGACAAAGGAAAATCGATTAACACAGATGCAATACAAGGCTCCAATCGAAACATGCTCGCACACACGGTAGGATTATTGTAAGGTTTGATAATAATCTCGAGTGAAATTTAGTTTTTGTATATCAATAATATAAATAGTTACTAGTCGACAGAAGAGCCAGAGGGGGAGCATGTTTCGTCGCAAGCAGTATAATCCTATATTCGACGTATCTATTGTCGGTTCTATGTATGAGACATTAAAAGATAGAAAAAAAAAAAGAAAAAAAAAACAGGTAACAAGATTTATAAATTACTGAGCCAGCACTGCGTTTTACGGCTGTTCTGTGCTCCGTTGGAACAATCGCCATCTTCGAGACGGCGTTGTTATCTAATAATAATTAGGTACAAACAGAGCCACGGGCTTTGAGCTCTAAATCCATGGCTCCGGAGAGGAAGTTTCTGCAGGCAAGCATGGCTTCGCGCAATACATCCGAGGCCAGGATAATGGATATCGGGGGGTTGATATACAATCTATGTATATATTCGTTAGTCTCGCAACTTTGTCGGATTTGTTTGTTAGACAGAACTTACTTATGTTAGTAAGTAAGATTAGGGTTGGGGCCTAGGACAGGTCGTCGCCGCCCCGCGGATACGACAGTCATCGAGCCACGTACTGTCCCCCCATCATATCTACGGGCAACAACAACAAGTATCGCTTAGTTTGTGCAGAAAACAAGGTCGATTACTTTCGAATTCAAACAATGAGATTATAACGAAATAAAAGAAAGGAGGAGCGCCTTGAGTAATGATAAAGGATAACAGATTGTAAGAAAATATTTGTTGGTGTTTAAAAAAAAAAAAAAAAAAAAGTACCGAGAGCTTCTTTTTTTTGTGATTCTCCTAGTCTTTGGTACTTTTTTTTTCTTTTTTTTTTCTTTTCGTTGTTAAAAATATCTCGCGTTACAATGGTTATTGCATGAGCTTGTTATGCATCGGACGACAGAGCTTATGTAAGCTTCTACGAAATACCATTAGCTGGATTGGTCTAGCCGCTTCTTACTTTCTGCACAACTCGGACCTTCCTAGAATCTCAGTTTTTTTTTTCTTCAAGAAGAGACATTTGCTTTATGTGTATATATACGATATTTGAGAATCGAGTAAGATCCTGAAGGGTGGGCTACGACTTTAATACTCTGTCAGCGGCCAGATTGTTGTTGCTCAAACAGCATTCGCGAATCTTGATGAGAAAAGACAGCCGTGACCTTCCTCAGGGAATTACTCGACCTCTCTAAAAGATTCATATAAGGGACAATTTTTTTTCTATCGCATTTTTTCATTTTTTGTTTTGTTTGTTATGTATCTTGTACTCTTGTTCTCTTCTCAATTCAATTAATCGTCTAACGTAGATTATGCATGTTCAAATTGAAGCTACTGTGTATATCGAATAATGGATGATGAGTGAAAAAAATTAAGCGACATAGAGGCAGATAATTCTTATGGAACGTAACGACTTAAAATCAAAGGATGACGGAAAGAGAAATAATTTTTTTAAAAATCGGTTATCATTGTAAATGATTTATCGGACGTACTTGTCTCTTGAGCTTAGCGTTGATTATTATACTGTCGCGAAAGTGAATATTTTAATGCATCTTGGAAAAATGGTAAACTTTGTAAAATTCAGGATGTCGCGATAAATTGACAAAAGCAAAAGAGGAACAGTGAATGCGAATAGGTTAATATTTTAAGTTGATTTTTTACGCTAAAGGAAAATAAAGGTGAACTAAACAGATAAACATATCGTCGCCTCGTTATCCAAGCTCATGAAACAAAGTCACTCTCGCCGTTGAAGAAAAGATGCTCCGTGTAATCATATATAAAAAGTTTGAGTGCACCCTCATGGAATAGTCTTTGATCCGTCCTAGGTATAAATAAGTCAGTGCACTGGTGCGCCGAAGCATCCTACTTCAAAAGCATCTCCGTAGATCGCAAGATCAATTGCACTTCGACAGGCCATCTCCTTATGGTTTACAACGCATAAGAGTCCCCGGCGAACGTGAAAGCAATGTTGCGATCCGATTAACGCACATCGCTAAAACAGTGTCTGATAAACAAACGTAGCCCACGTGGTAAGATAAAAGCTAACGACAACAGCAATAGTAACATTTATGACGATGTTTTTCATGTTAATGCGTATCTGACTGTACAAAGGACAGCACACCTTGGGACATCCAGATAAGGCTCGAGAATGGATCCCCCACGTGAGGAACATCATAAGGGGTTTATCAGTAGCTGTTTATTAGCGAGCTGGAGAAATCACGATAAGAACACAGTGAGGAGAGAACTTAAAGAAAGAAAGAAGAAAAAAAAGGAAAAAAAAAACCCGAAACGAACAAAGAGTTCAAGCAAATGAAAGACTTTAACACCGGCCTCGCCCTCTAATAATAAAACACAGAGGAGTCGCTGTCAAGCCTCTCCTCCAAGTGTTTGCCTACCGGTGTAGACTCCTCGATGAACTCACCATGATCCTGGCTCATGGACACCACCGCAGGACTGGTGTTCGCACTGTTGGTAGTCGCGATGTTCGTGTTGGTCCCCTCGTCGGCTGTTCTCTTGAAGAAATTGTGCTGCAGCGCGTAGTACGGCGTCACTCGCGTTTTCGGATCGAAATCCAGCATCCTTAGGATAAGGTCCTTGAATTTGAGGTAGTCGGAGACGGAGTGACCGGGCTCTCCTAATCTTCTGCCACCGGGGCCGCCGTTCTCCACCCCTAGAATCTCGTGTAACCGCCTCGTACCCGGCAGTTTGTACTTCTTACCGTCCTTCGACTTCTTCAACACGTAAGAGCCGTCCGTGGGGACTTTGTCGAAGTACTTTCGCGCCTTGTGCGCTTGGTCCAGTATATGCTTAGGTGGCATCCCTAGCACTTCAACGATTTTGTTCATTTGGTCGATCTGAACATTGACAATACATCATTCAAGAACCAGGATCGATACTGTCGACTCGCAGCAATAATTACTATATAACAATTCATTGTTACCAACTCGCACTTACCTCATTGGCTCCGCTAAACAAAGGTTCTCCCGTATGCATTTCAACTAAAATACAACCCAGGCTCCACATGTCTATCGCAAGGTCATATGGTATTCCTAGTAAGACTTCCGGCGACCGATAAAACCTAGATTGAATGTACTGGTATATCTGAAAGCGAACGGCAGAACGTTATTACCCAGAAAAATCGAATTACCAGCTTTTCATAAAAAAAAAAACATTAACCCTACCCTCTGTCCAAGTTGACACGAACTGCCAAAATCGACAATTTTAATCGCGCTTCTCTTGGGATTGCACAGGAGGATATTTTCAGGCTTCAGATCACAGTGGATGATGTTCAATTCCGGCGTGGAGAGGAACAGGAGGGCCGTGCACAGCTGCTGCGCAAACTTTCTCGTCAGGTTCAACGAAACCCCTCGGAAATTCGTGTTTCTAAGTAGATCGTAAAGGTTATAAGACAGCAGCTCAAAAACCAGACACAAATGGTTCCGCCACATGAAGTGTCTCTTCAATTTAACTGAAAGCACACGAGAGAGGAATATTACACTTAATATCAATGGCACAATATTGAATATCGCCAGCGTCATTATATCAGATTTCAAGAGTCCATCAGAACTTTATGACTTGCGTACCTATATAATACTTGTTGTCGGTGTCTGCCCTATTCATCATCTCCAGTAGCCGAACTTCAATTTGCGCTTGATTCAAGAACGGTTTTTTATTCTTTATTATTTTTATTGCAACCTGAGTTTGCTCCTCGTGGTCAAACGCCTTTACCACTTGGCCAAAGCTGCCTTTACCTAAGAATCCAGAACGAGACAAGAATTATTATCAAGTAAACATTCATATTGGTGGATGGCAATATCGATGCGTTATCCTTCTGACTATATCCGTTCCCTTGGATACAAGAAAACAATTACGTCTAAGAGTAGAATTGAGATTTTTCACCAACTGCAGGTAAATTGATTCCCATGTTTAAAAATATAATTGAACAAACAACTTAGAGAAAAAGAAATCTTTGTAAACTGTACGAAACAACGTTGTTGTTCTAAAACAAGGATGCAGTCAGAAAGATAATGCAAAGATAGGCAAAGTCCGCTAGCAAAGGAAGTTTCGTATGGTACGAAATCTATCGCGAGCATGAAAACTTCCGTCCGTACCTATTAACGAATCGATCTCATATCTATCAAGAAACTTCTCCCCATTCTTGATGATATAATCGTGGTTATCGTCATCCCAGCCGTCGTTGTAGAGCTTCCTTTCCTTCTTGTGCGAGCCATCCTCGCCTTGCATCTGCTGCGCCCTCCTCTTCTTCTTCGCGTAGTAAACCTACAGAAAAAGAAAAAGAAAAAGAAAAATACAATTATAGACAAACAATGAAGAGGCTCAACGTTAATAAGAGCAACTGACTTTTTTTTTCGAAATTTCTTTGTCAATGAACTTGGGGAGTAATAGGAGAGGGATGAAATTAAGGGCAGCAAGGTATACGCAATAGGTCCATTAACCGGATACATCCTTTAACATCTTCACAGACCTGTGCACGTATCATACAATTGATTAATTCAATAAAAAAAAAAAAAACCCAAAAACCAGTCACAGTCCTAATATCAATCTGTCATAATACATATCTGACATTTTCATTATTTTCCCTTAGCCTACGTCACGCATGGTCCCCAGAGTTTATGACTCGGGTAAATATCCGAATAGAAAAAGAAATCTAACAGCATAAAAAGGAGATACGAAAAAGGGCGGTAAAAATGTGAAATTTGAATTTCTCTACGAGGGGTCTCGCGGTTATTTTCTGTAAAAGTGCCATGTGACTCGGTAAGTGTCGCGTCTAGGTGGGTCGAAGGGCTGGAGAGGCAAGGACTGGGAAGAGAATTCGAGGAGGGAAGCGAGAGGAAAGAGGGCGCAGAATCCGATCTGCCGCCGTCGCCGCGGCGGGCAATCGATATCGTTGCGGCCACGTGAAAATCATGCTGCTCGAAAACTCAAGCGAGCACCTCGGCACGGCTCTCGACGCTCTGCTCCGCAGTGCGAGAGTGCAGAGGGACTGGATGGCGGGTTGCGTATCCGACAGAAGGAATATTTCTCAGATGATCAGTGAAAAGGGGGAGAAATGATGCTGAGCTGGTCTACCGGGAGACAGGTGGTTTTTAAAGATGATTGCAATAATTTCTAATGAACGAATAAAAATGATAACAATCCTTACAGCGATTACACCTATAAATTGATAACATTATATCAGTCACCGACACCTGGGCTATTTATTCCAGAATACGTATCCGGCATAGAAACCAGTCGTGTCCTAAACACGACCAGGAGCCCGCTGCAAGACGCGGGCACGTCTGCCTTAAGATGATAATGAAAGCACTGTCGGTATCCCAGTAGCAAAATGTAAAAGTAGCCCAATTGGTGAATGCCCAAGACAAAATATCCGTGAGCTTCGTACGTCTACCGTTATGAAAATACGACAAGCATTACGGCACGGTAAGACCCGCCGAGCCGATTTCACCTAGTGCCGGCAGTAAAGTCAGCATACGCCGCATAGGAACTGGGTAAGGATAGGTCAGAAGTCGCGATCAGTTCCCATAAACCGGTAACAGGAAGCCGACGGAAGTCGCCAAGGATCATTCGTAGGTTCGATTTTATCAGTGGGTCTCTCTCTCTCTTTCATCCTCTCTCATTCTCCGGGCGATGATGGTGCGAGGCTAGAACAACGCCGCCGCCCGATCGTCGCCGGCTGTGCTGTGCAGTGTCGGTATTTCGCCCTGTCTCTCTGCCTCTCGCGCATTCTCTCCCCGGCTCTCTCATTCTACATCTGACTCCTTCTCCACTGTCTCTCTCTCCCTCTCGCCACTCCGTCCCCTT